AGTTCAAAATAGACATTTATACACCATTCGATAGACAATTTCAAGAGCTACATTTTGCACTATTTATATTTGAAAAAAGGATTATTTCGATTTTCCGCCTAATTTCCGCCTATATGCCCACTGTGCTGGCACCACCATATCTCGAAAGCGACTTTCACCTTGACACCATTCCGTAGCTCCAAGATTTCTCAGTAATAAAACATCGCAGAGAACTCGGCAAGACCTCAAATTCAAGCTGACACAAGTGGCTAGAGGCTAATAGAGCCCGACTTTTGATATTCGGTCTAGATTTTTGGTTAGGAAAATATCTTTATGCAAGTTAATGAGCCGTTTTCGTTGACCATTAATTTAAAAAGTAAAATATAAAAAATCCGGCTCTGTTAACCTAGCCACATGTGTTTTTGTCAGCTTAAGATCAATCCGAGCTCTCCACAACGTTTCTTTACTGGGAGATCTTGCAGCTACCGATAGCCCCATTTTGGTCACTGTTGTGACGACATCTCACAAACCATGCCTGATAGAGCCAAACAAAAATTTCGTCACCATACTTCTACAAGATCAGCATCTCCTAAGAATTTGGTCAAGATCGGACTTATACTTTCAGAGATAGGTTTCTGACGGGAGTTGCCGTAAACAGATAGTAATTAAAAAATGCAAGGCGACCATAGTACTTGACCAAAATGCATCAAACTACAGAATATACTCAAAATAATCTCATTGAGCATTAGCGACAGTCAAAATGATCAAAAAAATTATATCCCTCGATTTGGTTTTCCAGAAAGTCGTGCAACAGTCCCATCCTCTCACAGAAAATCTTTTTTAATCTGAAGTGATGCATGTATAGAGCATACCTGTCTGAGTATATTCTGTAAATTTGATGCATTTTGGCCAAGTACTATGATCGCTTTGAGTACTACGGCTAAAGCGGTAAATCCCTATTTACTTGAAACCTTTTTTTCCGACCTGTTTCCTATTATAATATTATAATAGAGATCGCCGCGAGATTCAGCGTGGTCGATAATCTATGTTTTCACTTATTTTCAGGGTTCTTCGACACGAACTGTTCGGTACCGAACGAAAAACGATAGAGATCCCCTTGAGTCGTTTTGTAGAGCAGATGTTGTTCTATCTAGGTGTAAATCTATAGCAAAAATTTTATTTGGAACTCTTTTCACGGTGCTACCGTATATTTTGTCCGAGAAGCTGCACCACCTGGAACTGGTAGTTTTCAGATCTTTTTTTTAGGTTGTTCGGTAGCCCCATGAATTTACTTCAAAATGGTGAAAACCGGATCTCTCTAGCTTATTTTGTTCAAACGTTATTCAAAAAATATCCGAGTGCAGTGCTCTTTGACGCCGATAGTAACGGGTGGCCTAAAATAAATGAGCCACTTTTGTTCTTTGTTTTTGAGACACTTCCCAGTGGTCCACAGAGTTGGTTCTAGGCTCATTCGATGGAGAATGGAGTTCTCTACAAACCTGCTATTTAAATCTCTAGTAGCACTTTTCTGGTTTGAGCACCATTCGAAATAATGAATGGCGCTGTTTTGTCGAACTGCGACCCACTGAAAATAGAAAAATATTTGCCATGATCCAAAAATAGATTCCATAAGAATTTTGAAATATTAAAAAACTCACTGGAAAATTCTAAATTAGGAAAATTTCTCTGTGCAAAAAACGATAAACCTAAAAACAGCCTAACTTTTCAACCTATTTTCCACAAAACTTAGTTTTTTAACTATAAAAGCAGTAAAACGTTCTGAACCCAAGGTTTTAGTCTTATTAGCCTACACAGAATTAAATTCTGCATCTTTTGATATGTAAACAAAGTTTCTTAATTGAAACGATTAATTAAAAAAATTAATTTAATTTGAAAAAATTGAGAAGCTAGTTGAGAACTAATTACGGGTCCAGCTGACGTAGCGGAAACATTGTATGAAGTTGTGAATGAGGGAGTTCGATAGAGTATAAAATTCTCTATCTTTATACGCAGAAAAATTAACCACTGAACCAGAGACAATGGGTTAAAAATCTCAAAAAAGGAGACGACAAAAGCACGTCGCAGTTCGACAACACAGCGCCATTCATTATTTTGAATGGTACTCAAACCAGAAAAACGCTATCAGAGATTTAAATAGCAGGTTATAGAGAATTCCATTCTCTATCAAATAAACCTAGAACCAACTCTCTGGACCACTGGGAAGTGTCTCAAAAACAAAGAACAAAAGAGACTCATTTAGTTTGGGTAGTTAGAACATAGTTACTTTTGTATTACAAATTTTTTTCTATTTTACTTTAATATTTTGATACAAAATTTAACTTAATAGGAATTTCTAATAAAATTCTCTTTACCACTAGTGTATTTGCTTATAGGTTTCGTAGATGCACATACACATCCTGTTTGGGAAGGTATATGTAATTTTTTGTCTATATATCAAATATTTATTGTTCTTTTTTAATTTAAAGGTGATCGTGTTCATGAATTCGCGAAAAAAGTTTGTAAAACTAGCATAATTAGTACTCATCATAAGTAATTTATTTTTATTTAGCTTGCTGGTGCCACGTACATGGATATAATGAATTCTGGTGGTGGTATACAGTATACGGTTGAGCAGACAAACAAGGCTTCAGACGCAAAATTATTATCCGTTTTTTTGAATAGATTGAAACGTATGGTACGGGCTGGTATGTTTCATCGGAGGAATTAACAATCACAATATTTTTATACAATATTTTCATATTTGAGGTACAACCTATGTTGAATGTAAAACCGGTTATGGTTTAGAATGGAAATCTGAACTTCGATTATTGAATATTATTAAAAGCGCAAAGTCACAAATGCACATTGGACTATCGACAACATACTGTGGAGCTCATGCATTACAAAAGTATGTCTAAAATATGAGTGATTTTATCAGATCTTTAATTAGCTAAATCAACATATGACTCATGTTTCATTTCAATAACTGTTGTTGCCGCTTATTCGTATGGGATTTTTATTTTGTGTTTCAGAAACAAAAGTGCTGAAGAAACGACAAACGATATTATTAATAATCAAATTCCAGCATTAAAAGATTTAATACAAAATGGAGATTGTGATGTACAATCTATCGATGTTTTTTGTGAAAAAGGTGTATTTGATACTGATCAAGCACGACGAATTTTGTTGGCTGGAAAAGAAATTGGTTTACGAGCAAATTTTCATGGTGATGAATTAAATAATACGGGCTCAGCTGAGGTAGATATTGAAGATAGAATTAGATGAGACTGTTCTATTTGTTTATTTTTGATTTGTTTCCAGATGGGTGCAGAAATCGAAGCACATGCAATTAGTCATTTGGAAGAAATATCCGATGCTGGTATCAAAGCAATGGCTGATAAGAAAACATTCGCTATTATATTACCATATACAGGCTATATACTTCGATTAAAGATGCCACCAGTGAGAAAAATGATTGAAGCCGGTGTGCCCATCGCTTTAGGAAGTGATTTTAATCCAAATGCATTTTCGTCGGCAATGGTAAGCTATTGAATTTACTTATACCAGTACAAGTTTTAATTATTATTGCATTTTAGCCCGTGACAATGAATTTAGCATGTGTTTTATGTCATATGACTTTACCAGAAGCATTGGTTGCTGCCACAATTAATAGTGCAGCAGCTCTTGGGATATCTGATAAATATGGCTCACTGGAAATCGGCAAGAAAGCCGATCTTATTTTATGTCGTTGTCCATCGTAAGAAATTTTTTAATTAACACACTAACGTCTATGTAGAATATTATTTCACACTTCTAGATGGGAACATATTATTTATGAATTTGGAGATCATGAACATGTTATTAAACATGTGATGAAAGAAGGTGTTATTGTACACACAAATTATCTCGAAGAAGACATTGAATAGAGAACACACACAGTTTAACACTAAGCTAAATTAATTCAAACTATAGGACTTTTTATACTAGATCAAAATATTTTTACTTTTAATGTATTTTATATTAAAAGTCGTACGTTAAATCTTACGAACAAAATACTAATAACCCAAGGATACATAATGAGTTAATTACTAATATTCAAATACTACAAAAAGATATATGTTGAACTAATAGGTGGTGGAATCAATTGTAACGTTTTTTTGTCGTTATGTGCTTTATTCTAAGGTAAACGATCCTCGTGAGATTATGACAATAAACTTGATTTTTTCAAAGATGGATGAATTTAATCAGTTTGGATAAAAGTACCATATTTGAACAGACCATGTTCAACAATCTGATAAAAATAAGAGTGAGAGTTCTTTTCAGATAAAAATTGATTCACAAAAAGCAGCTATTATCAGTAAAAAAACATGGTGGAATACTAATGTAGCGCATTTTTGCAAATGGTGTACAGAACGACTGATTGCATGCAAGTCAAAACAACATTTTTATTGTTGATCTCTGTAATGTTGCTGAGTCTGCCACCTTGCCACATGAGAGACTTATAGACTGTAATGCTCAACATTGATATCACTCATTGCTACTAAGAATGGACCATAAAAAATGAGTCACGTTGTTATTTGCTTATCATCATGAGAGCTGATGTCTCCAGACTTAAAATTCTTTCCACTGTAAAATTCTTTACCAGAAACGTATTGACTGATTTACTTGCGAGGATATTAATAAAGCTTTTTGTGCCGAAAAATTAGGTTAAGAAGAACTTTGTTATACACAAGAAAAAAGGACGTAATTAACAGCGTCAAAAGATGTTTAATTTGATGCAGCTTATGACTGTAACTTAAAAAACAACAAAATATTATGTTATAAAGCATATATTACTATAAATGCAACTTAACTTGCAAAAGAAGCTGTTGAGTTACAACAACTTTTTTCTTTAGAATATGTAGTTGACAGCATCGTCCCAGGACATTTCTTTTCACCTTCGTCCGTACATGAACTTCTTTACACTACCAAGCTGGAGAAACAGTATACAATTTTTGGACTAGACCGTATGGGTTGGATCCTGTCTCTCTTGCTTCAGTTCGTGTGGCTGTACGTAGAAGGCGCAGTATACGGTAACGAAGAAAATATTGAAAGGATAGTATTTCGGCGATATATTAGGATATTCATCTATTGAAACATAAATTCACTGATTTTCTTTTTACGATCCTTGAGTCAGTCAAGGTGAACGGTCCATAAAATTTGGGTATTATTAAATACGCTAACACCCACGAACATCCACTAGCACCCACTAACACCCCAAATTAAAGTCCGAGATAGTCGGTCGATAGACCTGTTCTTTGTGAATAAAGAAACACCGAAAAAATTTATCTTAAACAGGATTCTTTAGGGCTTTTCCGTTGAGAACATCCACTAACACCCAAAATAATATGCTAGAATAATCGCCATCCTTTTTTAAGTCTATTAGATCACTTCGAATCCATAGGAAATCTGATGAGAGCAGAGGTGGTCGGACCACTGAATTTTGAGGTGTAATCCTCCTGTATAATCAAAAATAATTTTTTTCTCAATAAAAGTGATTCATAAAGTATAGCAGAAGAACGGTCATGAAATTCTCTACAAAACTTCAGCCTCGAAATATATAACCCATTGTTCTTCAATTTTTTTATTAGCAGCGACCTTTTTTCATTTACTTAATAATGATATTGATATAGAACAATTGCTTTTTGGTACGCACGGTTTAACAGGAGCTCATATTGAAAAGCTTGTTCGGTTGGCTGTGAATAACGCTCTTTGAAGAGATGTTATTGAACATGGTACATTAGATATCGGTGGAGATTCAGCAGAACAACTCCGAATTCGTCGAATTTACTACAAGCTCGTATATAGATAGTCTGATAAAGACCTAAGTCCCACTTTTGTTCGAAGAAAAACAACAGTCGTCTAGCAGCCTCAATTTTGTAAAAGTTTTTTAATATACTTGATTCACAGCAAAACCCATGTTAATGGTTGTCTAATCTGGCATTTGGATATTGCCTTGTACTATCAAGTATACTCTTTTCGATGGAATCAAAATCAAGTTGTTCCATTGACTTTCAGAGCAGAAATCTTTCATTAATAATTTTACTTTGCGACATGTATCTACGTTGTTTTTTTACCTCTAACAAACATCCTGTTTAGACCTTTTCAAAACATCAGAATTTATTTCAATTGTTTTATCACACCAAAAGTATAGAAGGAAGAAAGAGAAAAAATGCCATCTAATGAAATTTTAATTTTAAGTCCATTTCTACAAACAACAACTACAACAATAAACGTATTTTTTTCAAAGCTACAAAGAATAGAACGTTTAAAAAAATTCTTCTTTACTTAAATCCATTAGACATATACACTTAAAACGGTGCGTGTGTGTATCCAACTGAACACAGTTCATATATCAACAAACGTTCTTTAAAGAGAAAAGAAAAACTTATCGATTTGGTATAAATTCAAGTATATTTCCTCTATTTCCGTTTTCTCTAGAATAAGGTTTGTATACTAAAAAAAATTCATTGAATATGTTTGACTGTTCGAATATCACTAGAAATTATAGATAGTTGTTTCCGCTTTTATAATCTGTATGAACCATATGCCGATAGGTCTAGTAGAAAACTTTTCCATTATAATGGTTCACAATGTTCAATCATTTTCAGCTGATAGATCGTTCTTTTTTAGTCTATACATCCCAGGTTGCCGACAAACAGCCATAGAAAACTTTGTGCATACACAAAAAGTAACTGTGCTAATGAAACCTGATTTCTTTCTTTCGACTGAACGGTGATGCTAAAAGATGCAACTACTCTTGCGTTTACACTCCGTTGTAAGAAGATATCACTGCATTTTTAAGTAATAGCTGCATATATTTTTTGTCCAAGAACGTTTGTGTGCGAGAGAGAGAGAGAGAGAGAAAAAGAGAAAGAGCGAGAGAGAGAGAGAGAAGGAAAGATCTTATAAAGACAATTCATTATGTTTTTATAATTTCTAGGACTTTTCATCGATAATGACAGAAGAAGGTGGTCGTACTGATAGTCATCGAGAGTCGATGCCTCGTGATTCGACCCATCGTTTATCATTGATCGGTCGTAATCGCCGTCAGTCGTCAATGAATTCGATCCCACGTAATTTTGATCGTCGATTTATTCGCTATGAAAATACATTTCGCATGGAACCAGATGATGATCGGCGAATTGACATTGCAAAAGTAAAGCGTATTGGAAATATGGTTGTTGATAGTGCAATAAAAGGCTATCAGTATGATCCAAATAATGCTAAAATGTTTACATCCCGTTTATCCGAACAAATAAGAAATCAAATGAAACAATTACCGGCCAATCGTTTTAAGTTTATTACACACGTTTGTTTGGGTCAGAAAAAAAATCAAGATTTAAGAGTAGCTAGTCGATGTTTATGGGATTTGAAATGTGACAGACATATCACAATTACCAAAGAAACAAAAGACTATTATGTAACAATAACAATATTCTGTGTTTATTCAGAATAAGAAAGGGACATGTTTTAGCTAAAAGAGAAACTGATGGAAATAAGTAATTATACTGTGAAAAACATATAATGGATCGACCAAAAATATTTATGCGATCAAGCTTTATGAATTGTTTGCCTACCAAAACTGCGATTTTCCACTATCGAATAAATCATTATTTCAGTATATTTGTACCAAGTTCTATCTTTAAGTGTCAAATACTCATTTCTCTACAGAAAAACCTTCACATATGCCATTTTTAAACGGCCAAACTTTTCTGTCTGCTTATAAATCGTAGTTCACTGTGTTTCTGAAAGTATCGATGAAGACTTGAAAGCTAGTGAGTCAGAAGGAGAATTTAATTCGCAACAGAGCGAGAAGAGAGTTTTTCAAAATGATCTAGAAGGCGCTACTTTTGTGGAGTACTGTAATTTATAAAAAATACTTTCCCAGTGCTTGACCAACGATGGCACTCTCCGAAGTGTCGGACCGTTTTCTTCTTAAGCATACTTATTTATCTACTTCGTAATTATCTTTTGAATTGTGCTAGCATCCAAATCAGAGGCCGTCGCAGGAAGGGCGGTATATTTTTATTTTAAAAAATTCCTAGATTTGCCCTGCGAGAGATTGATTTTTGAGATTTTCAAGCTTCTTTCTAAGTAAAATTTTGAGGTCTCTCGCATATGTGAAAATAAAAATAACAGTCGACTTTTCTAAAATTGATAATTAATAAAAAAATGATTCTGTTACGCACGAGAAACACATCCAGTATTTGTGATGAGTTTTTTGAAGATAAAGTCTTCTAGGTTAATATAAGGAGAAAAACTTTCTTTTGCACTGCAGGGCGTCCTGCCCAGTCAGACAGGGCAAAAAAAATGTTATGAGTAATTTTTTGACAGGGCAGGACAGGGTGAAAAAAGTTGCCCTGCGACGATCTCTGATCAAATACTTAATCGTACGTGTATACACTAGGATGGTAGTACATCGCTTTTGAATATATTTCTGGAAAATCATGCGCATCATAGTTTGCGCGATTCCGATATAAACGTATGCTACGCTTTTATTCTAAGAATTGACTAGGCATGCACTTTTAAATGTGAGGTCTGTTCGCCTTACAAGTGCCGACTTACACATCTGTGATATGCCCCAGGATAACGGATACTTATGGTGATTGCTATAGCTGTAATAGTTTCTTTCTACATCGATCTACCAACAAAAGAGAAATTTTTCTAATAAAAGTGTTAGTTTTCCACATAGTGAATGGATGAGATATGTGTGATTCATTGTCTGCTAGATGTCAGGCATTGGAGGTTAGTCAAAGATCGCTGAAAGCGCATGGAAAAGGAAAGAGGCACTCCCAATCTTGACATGATAATAGTCAATCCATGATTGGTGAAAACTCAGAGATCTGCGTGCATGCGTCGTTGTTGTTGAAATTTCATCCTTTTTTATTCTGCTACGTGGCTAGGTGAGAGCAATACGTTTATTTCATTACTTTTTCGATTATACAGGAGCTAGTTAGGGAAACGGATGATCAGTAGACTACAGTCAATAGCTGTTGCGTTATATTTTTGTTACTTCTAGTTAGTGTAATCTAGTTACGAGATCCATTTTGAATGCGTACTGTTAATGAATGTACTTGCATGTGATGATTGCAAGTGCTCTTCCAAATTTTGTCAAATATTCCTGTGATTCTTCGCCGGTAAATCAAACATTTACAAGCAAATTGTTTCGCCTTTTTGCCAAGTATTTAGCTAAGTACTTGGTCAAGTAATCGGATTATCTATGAGAGATTCAACAGCTTAATCAAGTATCAGACAAGTACCTTTAGTTGCCTGGAGGATGTTTCATAAAACGTCTTAAGTGCTCAATAACTAAGTCTAGACTTAAGGGTATAAGATTAATATGTAAGTGTACAAAACAGAGACTTAAGTCGAGTACTTAAGAATTTTTATGAAACACCCTCCTGAATAAGTAACTACCAAGTTTCTATAACATTTGTTAAGTACTAGCCAAGTACTCCGTCTCAAGTACACTCACTAGAGCAATCATGGCCAATCGGTATTGATTAGCTAAGAAATATTTTTAGAAAGTATTTTTCTTCTGTCCAGTCTAGTAATCAAAGGCATCAAAGTCCGCTTACATGTGAACCTTTCATTCAATAAATATAAATGCCACATAACCGAAAAAAGTGCAGAATATTTTTCTCGCCTGGACAAATCTATTGTTCCTCAATTTTTTAGGGCTGACTAGTTAATGGTTAGTAATAGTACTATTTTACTAATCATATCATTGCGGTAAAATATTAATCGACTGAAATGCATATAATGTTTGTTTTAAAATGAATGAATTTTATTCACGAAAAGTGAGAGTCATCGAAGGCTTCCGACCATAAAACAATGACTCGAGCCAAACAACAACAAAAAGAATCTATAAGTAGAAAAATAAAAATAAAAAGTAAACTAGTATACGAAAATAGAAAGGTGGTAAAGAAAGAATAAAAAAAATAAAATAAAGAGTAACAGCACTGGATTTGTTTTAACTGTAAATATGGTCATGTTCTACTGAAAAGATGCTAAGATAAAGCTATTTTAAATGACAATAACGAAGAAGATTCTGCTGATTCTACTGATTCTGGAAGATTATTCCAGTCAATGACAGTTGAATGAAAGAAGGAAGACGAAACTATTTGTGGAGAAAAACCGTTTACAGGAGGTGGAATATGAACATATTTGGAATGGTGACAACATAAAGAAGAATAATAAGGACAAAGAACACTATAAAAAGAAGAAAGAGGACTAAGACGATAATAAATTTTGAAAAACTGTACCAGTCGAAAAGGTTTACGACGAAGTGACAAATCTGGTAGAGACAGTTGAGATACAAGTAAATAGCTAGAAGAACGTTAGTCAAAATTACGAGAAATAACACGAGAAGCAAGTTTGTTTACAGATCATACAAGATGCAACAATAATCTAGTTTAGGAAGACTAGAAGAAAGATAAATTCGACGCCGAACCTCTGATGGTTACTGTATCTTCATATTTATTTGCATATTTGTTGCATCTATCAAATGGTCTGATATGGATATTGTATGCATAAGCTAGGCCCAAACTAAATTCTAGACGAATAAAATCAGAAAATCCAAAAAATGCTACCGATTGAAGAAATCAGGAAGGTTCTAGAGTCCCGTTTGTCTGAAAGGTTAGACATATCTTTCCAAACATCACCATTCTCATGTAAAGTCTGTTGGCATTTCGAGATCAACCACTTCAATGTTGAAGTTCCTCTTCAAAGACAGAAAGTGTCTTCTTCCTCTCAAATTAGTAAAGGAAAGGAAATGTCTGTTAGAAAGTCTAAACTAAAAAAATGCTCCGGACAAGTTTATCGAAGAAAAACCAGCTAAAAATTTGTACATTATAAATATCTCACCGCAGATTCCCTATCCATTGCGTATTACATATATATTTCTCTCTTTTAGATCTAGAATAAAGATTACTCGATCTTTTAAATGGGTTTAGGCAGTAGTTCAATAAAAATTCCTGGCGGTGGTACCGAAGGCTTTCATGTACGTTATATACTCTTCCTTGTTAGTGCAAAAACATTTTCGTTTTGGTTTTTATTTAAGGTTTTACGTGTGCAAGATGGTTCTCCCGGCCATAAAGCTGGGTTAGAAGCTTATTTCGATTTTATAGTGACAATAAATGGATTGCGTCTAGATCAAGATAATGATACGTTAAAAGAAGTTTTAAAACAAAACGTTGCTAAGCCTGTTGAATTATTAGTCTACAGTAGCAAAACACAATCCGTACGACAATTAGCATTAATACCGCACGAAGGTTGGGGCGGTCAGGTATATTTGTCAAGTTATTTTAGTTATTTTCTCCATTTTTTTGCTTTTTCTACCTCAGGGTTTACTTGGTCTTAGTATAAGATTTTGTACATTTGATAAGGCAAATGAAAACGTCTGGCATATTCTTGACGTACAACAACATTCGCCTGCAGCATTGGCTGGTTTACGTTCGTTTACAGATTACATTATTGGTGCTGACACTTTATTGAATGATTCCGAAGATTTGTTTACGTTAATTGAAGCAAATGAGGGAAAGCAATTGAAATTATACGTTTATAATAGTGAAAGTGATATGACAAGAGAAATCACATTAACGCCAAATTCTGGCTGGGGCGGAGAAGGTTTGCTTGGATGTGGCATCGGCTATGGATATTTACATCGAATACCAATAAGAATGTCAACGACTCTTCCACCTCCCACCACGAAGTCACAAATGAATGGAACGTCAGCAACTGATCTGTCTAAACAATCCCAAGAACACGTTCCTCAGACAAATATTACACAGGCATCAACAGCTGGTGGACAACCATTATTAGCATCTGTTCCACAGCCCGGTAATATGAATCCATTTGGTTTCACGCTGCAACCGATACATTTACCCGGCCTTCCACCAATAACAGTCTCAATGCCACTGTTTACACCCCCAACAGGATCGATAACATCAACAGCAAACACGGATGAAACATTTTCTTCAACAAAGCCTGCCACAGCGACATCATCTCAGATTACAACAAGTGTAGCACCGCCAATTACAACAGCGAATCCAACTTCCGATGCCGCCCAGTTTTCAAAGTGAGAAATGAAACTTTGAGTGTGATCTTTCTGATTTTCAAAGCATACTGTAAAATGTAAACGTGCTAAGTATAATTTGATGGCATACATAAACTTTTTGTGTTCCGATTATTTCCTTTAGATATTTTGGTGATCTAACAATAAATTCGACGACAACAGCGACCGTTCCGGCGGCGACTAATTCAACATCATTGCCCTTTTTAAATCAAAGCAGTGGTAACACGCAGTTACCAACAATCGAACAACAGCAACAAGCAAATGTCGTTCATACTCCTTTACCATCATTTAATACACCCGATCAAAGACAGCAACAATATTTTCAACCATCAACAACTACAGTAACAAATACCATTTCTGGGCCTCCTTTGTTTTCCGCACCATTATTAGGCCAGCAGCAACAACACCAGCCCCCTCAATATACACAGCAACAACAATATCAACTCCCTCAATATGCACAGCAGCAACAACACCAGCCTGTTCAATATTCACAGCAGCAACAACACCAGCTTCTTCAATATCCACCGCAGCAACAACAGTCAATGATACCCCCTTCATTTCAATTGAATACAATGTATTCATCAACGAATCCTCAATCATATTCCTCTTCATTTATGGCTCCTTCGCATTCCACAGTTTTTCCCACTTCGTCAATAGAAACATCACCGTTTCAACAAGATACTTATGGCCAATCTTCTTCGCCAGTTGGTGGATACGGCCATTCTCACGACCACGGGCATGGTCATTCTCACGACCACGGACACGGCCATTCTCATGATCACGACCACGACGATCATCATCATTAACTTTTTTGCTGTGTGTGTTTCAACTATATAGTGTTTAATCATAGACAAAGTCTTGTTATCAATTTTTATCGTTTAATTTTTGTGTTTTTAGAGAAATTTACCAGTTTCTTTGATTTACCAGTTTGAGCATTAGTACGAAGACTGTGTTCTTTTTAAGTGATGTAAAGTTGTTTGCAAAGAAAGTAGTCATTCATCAGAAGTAATTTTGACTGTGCTCATGTGGTGTTCTTGTCCTCATAACAAATATAAGTAAAGGATCTTGTTATTTGCTTGTTAGATTTAATTTTTATTATTTGTTTGGCACTTTTTTTTGTTGTTGTATTGATAAATGCCGTTGTTTCATGATTATACATTAAGACTAAAATTCAAAATATAATGGACTAGATCTGTTCTGTTTTTTGTTAAAAAATTCTTAATATTTATCATCATTTTTATTATAGTTTATTGTTATTGCTATTTTCTTTCTGTCAATAAATATAAGAAACAGCTAATATTTTAATATTCTACTCTTGCTTGGCAGAAAAGTATGCTACACTTTTTATCACTTCCTACACTGCGTTAAATGTTCAGATTTTACGAACATGATCTCTTTTTTTCTTTGAGCTTTCCGTGCTGTATGCAATGTCTCCATTAGGTATTATGGTTGAATTGACCATAATTCTGTAGCAATTTTACTCTCTCCTTCGTTACATAAACAACTTTTTTTTGCTTACCGTTTATCTCAAGGAGAAAAAGCGGAATTTTAACTTTTAAACTTTCATAATTTTTATTGCACTTTGATGAGCTTCTAAAATTTCCCAAAGTCCGCTTTCTCTCTCTCTCTTAGTTTGTCCTCTGCTATGTTTTCTCAACGAACTATTAGGAAAACGTTTTAGATAGCGTGTGCATCCTTTTTAATCCCCAAATAAAACCACTTTTTTTCTCATGTTACTTCAATAATTCTTATGTTGGAATTCTTCTTTCCACTCACATAAGTCTATTCTGTCGATATACATAGCTGAATAGAAGACAAAAGAGAATTTATAATTTAAAAAGATCAATCCTTTTGCATGAATTCGTCGATTTAGTGCTAGAATAGTTGAAACTTTTTTCAAATTTGTAATATTTCTATTCCATAAGAAATATGTTTTTACACTTTAACGTGCAGACATTTTACAGTTTATTTAAATTTTCTAGATTTTATTCTTGTGATTCAGCTACTGTTTTTATTTCATTCTCAAAAAAAAAAAACAATCATGGCTTATCGTGGTCCACAAACGAAAGTTCAAAAAGTGATGGTAAGTTATCATCAAATTCTTACTATAAACAGATCAGTACAAAGTTTCTTATCACTTTTTTAATTTCTTATTTAGGTTCAACCAATTAATTTAATATTTCGTTATTTACAAAATCGTTCACGTATTCAAGTTTGGTTGTATGAACAGACACAAGCACGTATCGAAGGTTATATTATTGGATTTGATGAATATATGAATTTAGTTTTGGATGATGCTGAAGAATTATCGATGAAAAAAGGTACTAGAAAAAAAATTGGTCGAATATTATTGAAAGGTGATAACATTAGTCTTATACAACAATTACAACAACCAGCATTAAACAGTGGACAAGCTACTACGTCAGCAAGTACAGCTGCTCAATCAAATAATGCTGCACCAACAACTGCATGATCGCATATGCATGTGAAAACTCCATAGGAAATTTATTCAAATCTCATTTAGAATGAGAATGTAAAAACATGTCTTTTTTTTATATCGTTGTTTAACATGTAAATGCTCTATTTCGTTGTGTTTGTTAAAAATAAAACTAAGAAAATATCTAAATATTGTCATTTTCAACAAGACTGTTTAGACAATGTAGAAATTCTGTTTATGATTGTACAGATTTTCTTTACAGGGATAAATGATTTATGATGTGAAAATGTGTAGGTCTAACCAAAAAAGGAAAATATCTTGAAAAATATCAATATATAGTTATGTTCTAATATCTTTTCAACATTCTAAGAACTATTTGATATATGTACAGAGGCTCTTTTATATATTTTAGTTTTTCTTTACTATAATAATGGATCATTATGAAGAAGATAGTTTGCGTACCTATAAAGGTTCTCATATATTTAAATATTTTTCAAAATTTACTGGTTTACCATTGGATCAATTTAATTTTATCTTAGCTCAAACATTAGCACTAATTATAGCAATTTGTTTTCGTCGTTATTTACCACCTAAACCAGAAAATGTACTTAAACGTCATTTATTAGGAGCACTAATTGGCATAGCTATTGGACAATTTTGTTTTGGTCAACAAATATGGCATTTAATTGTTCAATCATGTGTTTCATATTTGATGTTGTTTATGCTGAAACCAAAATATTCTTATTTAGTAGTATTTGTATTCTGTATACTCTATTTGAGTTTTATTCATATTCATCGTCTTATATTTGATTACGGAAATTATACATTGGATATTAGTGGTCCATTAATGATAAATACTCAGAAATTGACTGCTTTAGCATTCGCATTCTATGATGGACATCGTTCAACAAAGAGAAAGACACAAGATAATATTGAAGAGACTGTTTTGAACGATGATCAAAAACGACACATGATAAAAAATATTCCTCATCCAATTGAATTTCTTAGTTATATATTCTATTTTCATGGTATTTGTGTTGGACCATTATGTTTTTATAAAGGTAAGTGTATTTTAAATGTAATATTCGACTCTGTTATATTTTCACTTTAGATTTTATCGATTATATTGAGGGAAGAAATATTCTTATATTACCCACCAATCAAGATATAGTTCGAGACGCCAATTCAGCATCTTCAACAAATGATGATCAACAACTAACATCATCTTATCGTAGTTTACCCATTGAACAACGACAACCATCGACATTGTGGCCAGTATCTACAAAAATATTACAAGCATTATTTTGGGCTTTTATTTTGATGAAATTTTCACCACATAATCCAGTTGACTATAATATTAGCAATAAAATGGTAAATTCTCCATTTTTAAAACGAGTTCAATACTTGTGGTTTTCATCATTTTGTTCAAGAGCCAAGTAAGTGATTTTATTGTATTATTATGATAATATATCATATTATTTCTATTTAAAGATATTATTTTGCTTGGATATATGGTGAAGCTATTAATAATGCAGCTGGTTTAGGTCTAAATGGTTATGATGAGAAAACAAAACAGCCAAAATGGAATTTGCTAACAAATATTATTCCTTATAAACTAGAATTAGCAACAAGTATTAAAGTTACTTTTGATGTATGGAATATGCAAACAGCACTATGGTTACGTCGTATATGTTATGATCGATTAAAAAAAGGTCGCACGTTATTTGTATTTATATTGAGTGCATTTTGGCATGGTTTCTATCCCGGTTACTATTTTACATTTGTTTTGGCTGCACTAGGAACATATGCTGGACGTGGTATACGTAGAGAAATTCGTCCTTATTTTCAAAAAGATCCAGTAACAAAAGTAATCTATTCGATATTAACATGGATTGGTACACACATTCTCCAAGAGTTTATAGTGATACCATTTGTTTTATTAGAAGTTCAAAAATGTGTGTACTTTTATAGAACATGGTATTTCATTGTACCAATTGTTGTTATTTTAATACCCATTCTATTGCCTGGTGCAAGTACAAAGACTTCACGACCAAATGATTTAAAAAACCAGTCAACAAAAAATAATAATCAAAAACAATCATCACAAGAAATTGAAAAGCAAAAAGAACTATAATTTAATGTTATGAAGTCTCTTGACATTGCCTGTTTGTATGTAGTTTATAATTTATACATAAATTTTTACTCTTACTTACCTCAATGAACAATAACTGTCGTCATAATAACAGCAGCTTATTTGAATTAGATATATGAGAATAATTTTAATTTTGAAAATATAATTCCTATTATAATAAAAAAGAAGAAGATGGAGAATAAAATAAACTAAAAACTTTTAAATTAAATATAAATTTATTATCTAATATGTAATTTAAACAAATTGCTGTTATTTATTACAAACTTTTTTGCCGTTTTTATCCTTAAATGTGGTAGTATATTAATCGTAATGGGGCTATATTTATATAGCTAAACGTGATGTTTCTTGTACATATATTTTTTAAAAGCACCAAACAAAACTCTGATGCAATTTTTTTTGTATTCAACAGTCCCGGTCTCACTTTGTTTATTCTGATAAATTTATGTGTGTTGTTACATTTTATATCGCGTTTTTTTCATTTTTGATGTATTTTTATTAAAGCATAGAGCAGTTAATAATAACTAACACCTCTGCCTTTTCGCTATTAAAACTATCAACTGCCTTATTTTTACCTTTTTCGTTTTTTGCTTACAAGAATAGTTATCATATATAGATGTTTTCTTACGTGTTTTTTGTGTGTGTGTGTGTGCGTGGTGGTTTGTCTAATTTCTTTTCTTTTCTTTTTTTTTACAAACCTGATTTATACGATTTAGATACCAGTTATTTACATTTGTTCCGTATAATGCAAAATATTATCTAATTTATTATTATTGGACAATCAGATGAACTTTTCACTTAATCAGATATCTCGAATAGTACAAGAAACGATTGTCTCCGAAAGAAAAAAATGTATTCATGTATAACAACCACTATACAGTTCTTTAGAGGTGAGGGGTTATTGTTAATAAAAATGTATGAAAAGATCATGCTTTAAAAATACGACCGCGATAGGAAAGAGTTACATAGTTATATATAATAGTTGATTGTGTCCAAAAAATATATTTGCATAGGGGGGGGGATTAAAATACTAATATCCAAATATCCAAGCGGCAAAAGTGTTCAGCTTCACACTAGTCGTCATCTTTGTAGATATCACATGCCAAGGCACAACTAGTAATCCTTGCCATTCAAGAACAATAGATCGCAGAAATTGATGATTTAAATATTGAATTTTATGGCTCTTTAACGGCGTCAACTTCTCAGTTTGATGAACCTTCTATTTTAAGAGAAAGCATAGACTTATGTTTTTTATTTGACAATTAATGTCGTAAACTGTTCTGTATTTTTATTTTATTATATTTTATGTTCTGTATTATTATTTATAACTAACACCATTAATATGCTTAAAATCAGAACTATATTTAGATGAAAAGTCTATTTTTTGCACGATTGAATATTGATAATCTGGAAAAGTTTTTTTGTTGCCATAGATATGTACGTAGTGTACCACATAGATTTGTCTTTTAAAAGATGCTTATCGATTAATGTAAATCTAGAGAAGAGTATTCTGTCCAAATAGTTGATACTTTTATTATCTAATGCTTCCAAATGAAATCTTAATCGAATACGGTAGTTGAATGTAGAGTCCGGGCATCGGGTGTTTTTCGGGTTTGACTAAACAGTGAAATTAAAATTCGTTTCTAAAGAGCAAATTTGTCTAAGGTATACGTTCGATAGAAAAATGTTTCCGCTTTCGAATATGATATTTTACGTGATAGAAGATTCCACTGACGTACTGCTAGCAATCCACACCCATGAAAAACCCGATGTCGGACTAGTTGAATGACTGTAAATTTTCTTCAATTTCTGTTATTGTTGTTGATTAAGAATTTTGAAAAATGAGTATATATCTAGGTGAATTAGGCGCAATAATAATTTTAGCTAGTTACATCTTGAATGTGACTCCATGATAAATGTGTGTATATAGTCAAAATGTGAAAACTATAGTTTTAATATAGCTTCCATAAATTTGAATAGACTGTTTAAAAATGAAAAATAAAAAATTAAAAAAAATAAAATTTGATTTTGATGTTAATAGTGATACTCGAAATAAACAACAAAATAAATTGATAAAAGTTAATCTTAAACAGCCAAAATCAATTTTAAATGTTTCAAATAAATCTTCATCATCATCAATTATCACTAAAAAACAATATAAAAAGTCAAAATTTGATTTTATTAAAAAATTATATTTTTCACATTGGAAAAAGAAAAAGAAGAAAAAAGAAACTAGTATTATTAAAACTAATAATGATGGTAAAGAAGAACAATGTATTAAACATTTTCCACCAAAAATTGAAGAACTTGAATACGAATTTATGGAACGATTGAAGTTAATGCATTATCAATGGGAACAGAATTCGGATAAAAATTTTATTTCTTCTCATATGTATCAAAGAAAACAACAATTTTTACCTGATTCACCACAAACATTCGATGAAATATTAAAACAAAATATTGATGAATGTCATTCATATCGGGATAAATTAACAAATTTGAGAAATTTACTCAAATTAACAAGAAATAAACAATTATTAACAACACAATCAGCTATTGCTTTAAATAATGATCAGAGAAAATTGATGAATTATATACATCGAACACTTAGTTCAAAAGATATTGATTCAGTATATCAGCCAATAATGTTCAACAATAATAAACATCGAATTCAATTGTACAAAAAGACAGCAACTGTACAATTAAATAGTAGTCAATCAGATACATTTCAATCATTGTCTACAACATCAACACAATTTCATCAGTAAGTTTTATGATCACTCAATGTATTGTTAAAATTTGTTAACAATATCTTTCTTTTTTTTAGACTAGTGCATCGACCATTACAATCATTCTCTCAAATTGTTGATATAGTTACTCATACGTATTACGATCAACAACACGTTGATAGTCAGTGTAGAAAATTGATTTCTTTAAGATCTGATATTAATACTCAACAAAATTGTACGAAATTTGTTCTCCTCACTTCTTCTACAATTATTAATGTTGATGAGAAAAATAATAATAGTAATAAAAGTGAAAATCGTGCATTATGTAATAATGATGAAGAAATGAAATATTTAACGATAAAATCTAAATCATATTTGACAAAAACTGATTCAAAAATGAAAAAACTCTTATATTTGAATGAAAATTCATTAGTCAAAGTAATATCACATGATTCGAAATATAATCAAAATCCAGCAATTTTAAATATGCATAGTTGTTATTCATTGTCTAATAAAAGTTTAACAGATTATTTATCGAGTAATGTCGATGAATTAAAAAATGTTTATAGTCAATATAAACGTCCATTAGAAAAATGTTATTCAACACCGTTACCAATTGATGTTCAAAATGCTTGTTTAAAACGAGAACAACAAAATTCAAATTTAATTCAAAGTGCAATGAATATTAAACGAAAATATTCGATGAATAATAATTTCACATTACTAATACCAACAATTGAAAAGTGTATGAGTGAAATTAGCGTTTGTGTAGAAGAAGAGAAAAATAATATTAATAGTAATAGTAGTAGCAATAATGATAAACAGAAACCAATACCAATGAAAATATATGGAACAACAGAAAAATTGTTTCAACATTGGAATATGGCAAAAATGCCTTTAACAAAAAAATTACCACCATTATGGAATCGTGTATGGCGTCAACATTTACATCGATCTGGTTCAAAAGAATTTTTGCTTGAATATGATGAATCAATGAATAATAATAAATATGTTATTGATGAACAAAAATATATTGAACAAGAACGACCTGTTCGTTCATACATTGCATTGGCTATGCTAGCTTTTTTATTGATACCACCATTTGGTAAGACTGAAGAAGTATAGGTGTATTTCTACTTTGACATTTTAGAATGGATAACTTTTTCATTTTTCATCAAATAGCTCAACTAATAGCTCAAATTTCTCATTTTTTTTCATGTACTTGACATACGTGTAAGATTATCGAAACGAAAAATCTCCTCTTTTACTTATTTTTTTTTAGGTTTTATTGCACTTATACTAAGTATTTGGTCACTCTACGGTCATCAAGATCGTCATTTATCACGAAAATTTGGTCGATGTTCTTTTTTCATATCTGTTACGGTTATATTACTCACTGCATTTATTATTATAAGTCTACTAACCTATTTTACCGTACAATATTTGACGAATCAACCGCTAACTGTCAACATTATTGTCTCATCAACACCTAAAATACATAATTATCTTCATGATGAAAAAATATATGAAAAGTCAAAACCATATGAAAATTTTGTTATTCTAGATTAAATAAATAATGTTTACAACACGATTTACATCAAAGTGTTCTTCTTTATTTTTTTCTTCTAAACGTTTTTTATCCACAAGTTTAGTCGAAATTCATCGTCATCCATCAAATGAACAGATCTGTCGTATTAAATTAAATAATCCAAAACAACGTAATGTTTTATCATTGGAAATGATTGAAACTCTAATTGAAGCTATTGAAACAAATTATAAGCAATCACGTGTTTTGATTTTAACAGCTGGTGATCAAAAAGTTTTCTCATCCGGTCATAATCTCAAAGAATTATTAACATTAGGTAAAACAAATGAATGTGATAAGGTTTTTAATCGTTGTACACAACTAATGTTAAAGTAAGTTAATATCATCTAGTTGAATTAATTGATCCAATTTGTTACTGGTGTTTCTTTTAAGAGTCAAACAATTGCCTATACCTGTTATTGCTGAAGTATATGGTAAGATTTTAATATTCGTTGATAAATATATTTCACAAAAATTTTGTTATTCTAATTTTTTGTTTAGGTTTAGCGGCTGCTGCTGGTTGCCAACTAGTTGCCAGTTGTGATATTGTTGTTGCTGGTGATAATGCTCAATTCTCCACTCCTGGTGTTAAACTTGGGTAAATCAAAAAACAACTTAAATTAATACTTGTAATCAACTTTTTTCTCTTTTTTTGTTTTTTAGTTTATTTTGTATAACTCCTGCCGTTGCTGTAAGAGAGACAATAAAAAATCCAAAATTATCATCATTGATGTTATATACTGGTGAAAACATTGATGCAAAGGAAGCTTATTTACATGGACTTGTTAGTCGAGTAGTAGGTGAAAATGATTTGGAACGAGAAACGAATAAAATTGCTGAACAAATTTGTCAACATAGTCGTTCAGTTATTGGTATTGGCAAAAAATATTTAATATTAGATGACAATATGGAAGGTAATGATCTAGTCGAAACATATCGATTAGCCACAAAAGGAATGTTGGAAAATTTACAATTAAAAGATACACAAACAGGTTTGCAATGTTTTGCTGATAAAAAACATCCACAATGGTCACATACAGATGAAAAAGTTTTGTCTTGATTAGTAACTCGTGTTTGTGATATTCTCACTAATAGATCTGCTAAAAAAACAGTGAATTTAAATATTTATCATTTTTATTTTGTAATATTAATAATTATAGTGTAAATTGCTGGTTTTCATGGATATTGGGTATTATTTCTTGTTAGAATATTGTTTATATTTTCATAAATTCAACTAAATTCAAGATCACACTAGTGCTTTATTAAAACAATATACGAAATATCTATTCTACTTGGTCGATCGTATAGATGTGAACATAGTGCCACAAGTATGAGCACTGTACTGAGCTGAGCACATCAGTCAATTCTGACTAGTTTGATATCGATTCATCTTATATCCCTAAAGAATGAAAATCAATTTTCATTACATTCACAAAAAATTTTTTGCACAATATGTATTTATGTTAGAAATGTTCAAAAATTATCATAAAATGTGTTGAAACAGAAAGACAAATATCAGAAAACAACACCAAATACTTTATACAGATACATGAAAAAAACAAGAATAATAAAATGACTAGTAAAAACAGCAAATGACTACAACGATAAACATAAATAATTTTTATTATTAAAAGCAACTAAATAATAAATTTCGAGTTTTTAGTAACGAATTATGTTTTATATTTTGTCTTTGTTGATGTTCTAAATAGTTAATTGATACCATAGCAAAATGACTCAATTGTAAATCATATTTTGATGAACCAAGTTCTAATGCACCTGATAATACATATCCATCTTGAACATCATCATCAGTTATGTTTGATGAAAGAGTTAAACGAAAATAAGAATCATCATTTCGTAGAAATTGACCAGTTATTTCTAACTGACCATTACCAAGACATTTCATGTGCCCTCTAAAAAGAAACTAAAAACATCAATATAACATTTATTACAAAAGAATTTTAATTAGTAAAGAGGTAAAAACATATTTTTTCGAGACAAACTAGTTTTATCAACTGAATTATGTCAGATGTGTGGGAAAGATGAAGTTCTCTTCAAAGTTGTATGTACAATGGATATTTTCAGGTTATTTCAATAAGTACTATCAGCTACAATTCAATTTTTATTTTTGATCTTCTTATATGTTCGCCATTTCATGAACATAAGACAAGATAATTATAATAACGTTCTCTGCTGGTTATTATATACTATATCAATTTTCCACATTTTTCGAGAGAGACAGAAAATGAATCAGACAAAAAATAGCGAACAACTTCGAAAGCATTTCCTATTAACTCTTTTTCTTTTTTTTATATGACAAAATTATATTCGGTCAAAAGAAGGAAGCACATAAAATGAGCGAATAAAACAGTCCCTTTATATTTGATTATAATTAGTCGTTTTCTGTTGCTAGTTTCTACAATATATCTAATTGAAGAACCACCAGAGAAGACATATGTGAAGGCAGAAGGGACTCAACGTTTGAATCTACGATATTGTATGCAAAACAAAATTCATACTCCTTTCTTACGTTCGTTGATTTAAAGTGTTTTGTGTTCTATATTAATCGTAAAAAAACGTACTATTAGTAAAACAATGGTAGAAAAATCATTTTAAAAGAAATCTATGTTCGAAAGAAATGATCAAGAGTGAAAGGGAGATAAATTGTATTGCTCAGTTATTAATAAAAAATATTGAATCAAATGGCTCAATTTGTATCCTAGAATATGAATTATTTAATGTATAAAAATGATCTTCAACTACACGTTGTTTTTTTCTGTCTATAGTCTATTGCTAATTTTAATGAGTCTCAATTATAGCGGACAGATGATAATTTTTTAATATAAGATTGGCAGTTGGTTATACTAATCAAATAAATAGAGAAAGAAAGTCAGACAATTCAATACTGATGTTTGTGGCTATTTATCTATCATCAGATTATTCTTACATGAAATGTCTTAATTATTGAACACTCAATAGTCATAATATGAGAGAGGAAAAGAGAGAGAGAGAGAGTGACCAGCTTCATTAATTGTGATCTATAAGATAGAGATGTGCGCCGTCTTCTCTCTCTTCTTTCAGTCTACATATCTATACAACAAAAAAACAAGACTTATTCAATTAAACAAGACAATTCTTCATATATTTATCCGTTTGATCAAGCAGCAAAAAGGGAAGATGAATCTTCATTTTATTGATGAACTTCTAATTTGATTTTGTCTAAGTGAACAAGAGAGAAAAAGAAAAAAGAGAGACTTCTTAAACCATTCTAAATAATTCAAATTATCAATTAAATATATTTTTTTTCTTTCGTTGTATTGTATAGAGGAAATAGAAGTTGAATGATTTTTCTACTCATCAATAATTAACAAAAAATTTTCAAAGTTTAATTTTATTTTCAGTTATAAATCTAAAATATGATCACCAAACTTTCATACACGATCGTATGATCATTTTTTACAGTCAGCTGTTTACACAAATATTTGAGTGATCTGAATTCTCATAAATCTAGTATGTACTTTTTCTTTCCCAAGAAGGTCAGCTCATAATTAAAGAAGAAATTCTATTCTTTAAACTTTATCACACACGATTTATAACAATTTTTAGTGTTTTTTTGTACTTCTATATTGTTGTTGTTGATCAATGTTCATATACATTCTTATCTGAAACTTATTTTGTGTGTGTGTGTAAAAAGAGACACAAAACGATTTACTGTCAATCACACACATGCATAATAGAAAAACTATTTCTTTTTCCAGAAAGCAATTTGATGGCAAATTGACAAAACCTCATATGAACATAATATCATCGTACTTGAAACTAAAACGATGATTATTTAATGCTTTATATCACATTATGAACATGAAATATATATGACCTCAAACATACTCAAATAGATACCTAATTTGTCAAACATAATTAATATTTTGAGAGAGAGAGAGAGAGAGAGAGAAAGAGAGAGATATGTTGCATATGTTTTTGTGCATAGAAATAATAGATGCGTGTGAAATATGGCGCACACTTACACACAATTTTGTAATAAAACAAATAAATCTAGCTCATTCTTGTAGAGAGAAGAAAATGTAGTATCGTATAAACATATGGAAAATATAAATTGTATACAATTGTGTGAGATTTCATGGTAAATTGAGTTTATGTAATCATCATCATATAGGTGATGGTTATTGATAACTATCAGAATAATTCACAATTATTGTTACAAATACAAGAAACAAATCTTGATTATGAACCATGAGAAATAATAATTCATCATTTTTACTTGAGGAAAGCTTGACAGTAATACTTGAGGAAGAATTTTTCACTGCCACCTTATCGATTTAAATTAGATTAAAGGATTAAACAATCCAGACATTAAAAATAGGATTGAAATAGGATACAAATTTCGACCTTAAATTTAACAATCTCTCCTGTATTTTCTGCTCTATTTTTGAGAATTGTCCCTAGTCTAGTGTTTGTCGATCAACTCTGTATATATAGTGAACATAAATTTAACAAAAGAAGTAGAAAAAGTAGTCAATTTTTTCATGGTTTTATACTTATTCATACGGCAATCGAGACAAATAGAATTATCATGTTTTGTAAATATGAAAAAATCGCAAAATTTAATTATTTTATCGAAGAAAAAAACCGTCTTGTGTGTTTTTATACAATCGAGTGGAAAGGATCAAAATAATAGATAAACTTGAGAGAAAAAAAACAATTTTAATATCTGCATTCAGGGTCAAATAATAAAATTGTTCATCTTCGAACGATCGAGTCATTGCCACTGAGATATCTAGTCCGGAACACTTCTAATATAAGAGGAAATCTTTCCGCTCTAATTAATCTCAATAACATCATTCAAAGAAACGTTTAAAATATCTATGTTTGAGCATAAACGTTTCACTTACTTTGTCACATTTTTTCGATGTCCATTTTGTTCAATAACAATACAACGGGTTTTACTCCACCATAATGTTTTAACTGTCCAATGACATTGAAGTACAGGCTTTCCCCATCCTTCATACGGATATAATGAAATTTTTGTTTGTCTTTCTTCTCCCATTTTCCGCAATAATTTTCGACTGCAGCTACCTCGTGTTTTCTCATAATAAAATGGATATATCAATTTCATAATTGATCAACAAAATTTCTAAAATATACAAAACAATTATAGTACTTTCATCTATTGAGAAGTCTTACTGAATGAAGAGACAAATTTAAACGTCAAACTCTAGTTATACCCTAACACAGCTAATACTTATTGTTCTTTTTTTTTATACAAAAGTCATATTATAGATGATATAGGTGTGACCGGGGTGACATCATTAAATTCTTTTGTAAAAAGTAATTATGTACTCACTCCTTTTGTGTTTGTATCTTATCTTTTTGAATGTAGTTATTAATATTTTCTTTATATGAGTTTTTCAATTGTCACGCATATTAAAACTGTGAAGATTACGTACACTGTTCTATATGTGTGTCTATAACAATAATCTATAGATATGTACTATTTGGAAAGAGAAAAAAAATGTTTCCTTTCTTTAATGAAACAAAAAAAAGGATTAGAAGAAAAAAAAGTCTTTGTTTCGTAATATTTTCTTTCGTTTACATACATCGATGGAAAAAGCAGAGAAAAAAAACTATCAGATCACGTACAAAGGAAGATGCACATACAAATTTGAGGAAGTTGATGTTATTGTTGCCTGTGGAAAATTCATTATTCTAGAATATGTATACGCTTTGTAAAACTTTAATAGTTTCAAATGGTCAAATTTTGAAATGAAAATTTATCTTGATTGCTTCATTGTGCACTTTTAGTTTTATTAGCATTAATAGGATACGTGTACGACAAAAAAAAAATCGTATTTAATCTAAACTTCAGAAAATAGATACTTTTCACGGATGAAGTTCTTCAAACAAGAGCTTTCTTTGAGCTACGAAACTCTCATAATACTTAGTAACAAACCGATATTCGGGTAACTTATTTTTTTCTAGTGTTAGTTTTTATTAATTCAAGTAACACACAAGTTGAATTAACCTCTAAAAACAAAAATCAAAGTACCGCATTCTATTGTTCTTTTTTGTTGTTGAATTATTGTGGATAAGCCGTTACCGCAGTTGCTTGAATGAGTCTTCTAAAAACAAAAATGAGTCTGAGGAATTAGAAAGAGAAACATTTTGATGAGTTTTGACGAAAACTGCAGTTCTAAAAGTTAAAACTTTACTGGGATTAGGGCTAACGTTACCAGGGGTAGTGGTACAGAAGAGGCGGTCCCCCTCTCCCAGTCTTATTAGTACATTATACTGGAGCAATACATAGCTGCTGGTTACAATACAATGATCGAATAATAAGTATAATACACGACAGAAAACTAAGCCAAAGTGAACATCACTCGCGCTACATAGTATACCATTAATAAGTTCCCGGTTACATGCGTACTTAGACTTGAAAACTTTACTAGAGACGCTATTAAGCGTTTTCTACAAAATGACGCAGTCGTGAGCTTTAAAATGTTTTTCTTATCAAATGTTCATTTTCTCAACTTTTGGCCCATGTTACACAGAAACTAAACAAGCTAGAATCGACTGAATATGTCAATAGTTAAACCATATAGCGAACTGGCTCTTTATGAAAAAAGTTTCAAGCCCCCATGCTGCTTCGTTGAGGCTGAAGAGACATATTCCGACTGCAAATTTGACGTCTTTTTAAATTTTTCTATCAATCGATCCCGGACCGTTGTAAAGGCCATTTTGCAGTATCTATGCTAAAAAGTTTTTAGGCCTATACGTAATATATAGTTTCTAGGTTACATCCAAAACAAAATGACGATTGTCACCATTTTTCAGTTTTCGTTGTTATTCGTAAAATTCAACTATCCTAGTAAAGTTTTAACTTTTAGAACTGAAGTTTTCCCAGAGCTCATCAAAATATGTTTTCTTTTTCGCTTCTAGACCGTTTTCAATTTTGAAAAACTTGTGTGAGCAGCTGTGGTAATGGCTTATGTAGAATGACTATAGAAATACCGCAGATGAATTTTCATTTACCAAAACTGTTTGTCGATAGCCGACTTTTTGTCTCGAGAAGATGCCAGAAAGTAGAAAAAAAAATCAAGATCGTAGGATACCTGTTAGGTAAGAAATGTTTTCTGCGTTGCAAGAACATCTGCAATAGGATTTGCAGACATCATCCACTGATTCGCCCTTAATATGCTATTGCGTGTAAGAACTCAGCTGGTTAGAAGGAACTGAACTGTTGTACAAAATACACATGAACCCCATTGCTCAACTTGGCAATAAAAAAATCTTATTCTCTTGGTATGAATAATACGGTATTACCAGAAAAGTTAATAAACTGTTTATAGGAGATTCATGAAGTTTGCTTGTGTTGTTAGCACTTGAGAAGATGCAAGATGTACTGAGTAATTAAAAATGATGCATTGACCAACATAGAGCAAGGTAGTAAAAATACAGATCTACGGTTTATAATTGGACAAAGATAAAATTGGTTGCTTAGTATCTCTTGTACACAAAAATATATTTGAAGTGGAGGGCGGCACAAGCTGAAAGGACCAAGGGGGATCGCCTTATTTACCACCTAGGTAAATATTTATCAAAAAAGCGAAAGTGAACGTTTTCTGGTTGAGAAAATTCATTTTTGGAATTAAGTTGCTCTTTCATAAACTAGATATCTTGTGTAATGCGAAATCATACTGGATGAAAAACAATGATATATTAGGATATGATTGTTGTACTGGCTTGACAGGTGAAAACTCCTCATTATAATGATCTCTGAAATCCGTTTATGCCACTAAGTATATCGAAAGAAAGAACTTTATTAAACTGTCATGAAGCTAGTTGTAATATTCAGAATTCAAATTATAAACAGCAGATCATATCAGCGTCAAGCGAAACATAAGGTACATGCACAATCACGAAAAAGTGGTTTTTCGTATTTTCAAATGAATTTGTTTGATATCAAAAATTTTCTTTTCATGTGTTAACCATTTTATAACGCATCTGATAGCATGAGATATTAATGAGCTTACGCGCATTAATTGACTTCAAAAAAATTTCTAACGTGTCTACATGCGTTGAATTTTGTATACCAACAGTAAACGAAAAATGTTCTTGTCTATTAAAAAATCATTAATGCGTTAAAACGAATTAAAATGGATAGTAGCCTCATATTAAATTTTTTTAAGGCATTTAATTCGCAAAATTAAATCGACCCAAAAGTGTTTTTAACGCGTTAATGAGATTTGTGCATTTAACATCTTAAAGATTTTTAATGCATTCAAACGCATTAAGGCCCCCCCCTCCCCACCCTAAAAAGCTGATTTTCGTCAAATTTTTTGATTTTTTTGATTTATAGTATGTCAGATAGAGCAAAGTGTGGGCTATCGAACGCACTATAGTTTATTCATTTTATGATGAGTTTTAAAGATGTTACA